GGGGAGAAGGGGGGCATGTGTGTGAGTGTTTCTTGGGTGTGTGGAGTGATTTTTTGTGCGTGAGAAAGAGAGAGAGAGAGTGTGTGTTAGTGTAAGTGTGTGTGTGTGAGTGAGTATGTATGAGTGAGTGTGTGTGACCGCATGCGTTTGTATAAGTATGTGTGCGTGTGTGCGCAGTGCGCGCGTGTGTGTGTGTGTGTCCAAGCATTAGAATCATGGTGTACACTACCATTAAAAGTTTTTTAAGAACACATGATCACATCCTATAAACATACTGAGTGTGGGCGAACCAGCATATTATGTGGTGCAGCAGTTACGCCTTTCGCTGTTGCACACAAAAGACGCGAGTTCGATTCTGAAGTACGGAAGTCTTTTTTTCTTTCTTTACAAAGAAAGCGTGTCTCACTCTCTGTCTACTATGATGTTGTATCCCAATTAGCCCAGACCGGTTTTAACAGTCAAAGTCTTTCAGATGACCTCCTAAATTATCTACAAGGTATCGATATGAGTGTAAACACCTCCACCCACCCCAAGCCCCCAATTTTATAACAATACCGGTAATAATAAATAGCATTTGTATAGCGCCAATTACCGCCGAGCATCACTGACATACTGACAAGATCTTTCGCTATCTTATACGGGGCCGATCCCATCCGTAGTGGGCACCCCGTATTAGCTTTAGTAAGAGCTTTACGGCACTTGCAACACAACAAGATCATATAAGTGCCAAAGATTGGAGATGTTGCACGAGAGTAACGAACACAAAAAAGAAGGAGGAGAGAGAATGACGATAGTTTTCATAGGAAAGAAGGAGCAAACCAGACCAGAGCATCCGCCAACCACCCAGTCCTACGCCACAATTTTTCCCTCAAATAGGGAACTACCGGCAACACGTAACCCCCGGCTCAAAACAATCAACCTTTGTTTGTTGACCCCGCTAGGACTCCGCAGAGCTCAGCCTTCATCAAGAGGAAAAACGCGGGACAAAGTCGTGGGTAAACGTTTGCATGTTACGTCAATAGGAAGGGGAGGGGGAGGGAGGGGAGGGGGTAGGGGTAGGAGGAGAGGGAGGGGAGGAGGAGAGAGAGGGAGAGATGGAGGGTGCAGAAGGGAGGAGGAGATGGAGAAGAAGAGGGAGGGGGAAAGGAGAAGAACATTGAGGAGGAGGGGGAAGGTGTGGGTGGCTGGATAGGTGTTTGCGTGTGTGTGTGTGTGTGTGTGTGTGTGTGTGTGTGTGCGTGCGTGTGCGCGCAAGTGCGTATGTGTGTGGTTGGGGGGGGGGGGCTAGAAGAACCTTACCTTGAGCTAGATACATATCTGCGAAGCCGCACGATTTTTGGGGGGGGATCTGAATAAACGGCAAAAACTAGAGCGGGTGGTTGGACGCGCCACCTGTCGGCCCAAATCCTTTTCTTTCCCAGCACTAAATGACTGTTGTCGTGCCAAGGTTCACTTCTGTTCTCAAACAAAGAATACATGGCGGGGACCATGTTGGCAAGATTTGACTGAATTAATTCCGGAAACAATCCCCGTTTTTCTGTGCTCAACGGTGAATAGCTGAAACAAACACAGGAGATTTTGAGCGAGCCACCGCCCATTGATTAGTACACGACATGTGCACAGTCGCCGTGAAAAAAAAATGGTCGGGGCCCATATAGCGTTGGCGATAAAGTATGCAAAAGTAGTTTAAGTACAGAGAATCACACTGACAAAATAACGGACATTAGTGCTGTGAAAAAGTAAAACAGACAGACACGCAGACAAAAACAATAGAGGACAGTAAAGAAGCAGGACCTACCAGTGGCGCCCTCCAACCATTCATAAGTCGAGCTTCTACATTTGTCAGTTCTACTTCCCCATCTGTCCGATCAAGCAAATCTCACTGGTCGAATAAGTGTACATCACGCTTAAAAGCGAGTTCCAAAGCGCTGGGTAAACGCCACACGTCAAGCCAACAACGCCAAAGAAACCGCAAGAAGGCTCTTACTTGTTCTGGTCGAGAAAGTCGTAGTCGTTCCGTGCGTCTTTCGACGACGTGAGTCAAAGAGAAGCATTTTGTTGTCAAAAGGATTTTGAGGCCTGCAATTTCGTTATGTGGGAGTGGGTGGGGAGGGGAGGGATATACTGGCTAGAAACGTTAAAGTATGCTTGTGAGTACGCGTGCTGGCAAGTGTGTGTGTGTGTGTGTGTGTGTGTGTG